AAACTTCGGGCCACTTACGCCCCCCTCTGCAAGCCACCCCAATTCCCACATCTCTATGTCCTTCTCCATACTTGCACATACTTAAAAGTTCTAAAATTTCTATCAAGTGCAATTATGAAGTAGCTCAGTCCCTTGCAGCTGCCACTGTCTTTGCTCTCTTTGTCTGTTAACAAAGACACCAGAGCCCTTCCCAGTCCCCACGCTCTGCAAGCACAAAGCAGCAGCTGAAGCACCTTCACCTCTGCTCAGAGGCACCACCAATGCAGGCTGGCACCTTCTGCACTTGTACCAAAACCTGAATGCCTGCAGAACATGCAGCATCCAGCAAAGAGCACAGCCAGATGTAGGAGAATGAAGGGACCATCCCAATATTGCTCCTTTCTAGCTGCACCGCACAAAGGCCCTCCGATAAATTTTCCAATTCAACATATGTTGTTACCATCATGGTGATTTATAGAGTTGTGAAACTGCTTTGAAATTTGTCCTTTTCAAAGGCAGTTCCAAAAGAGAATCATTGCTTAAAATAAAAGGAAAAAAACCCCCAAAACTCATGCAAACACAACCCCCCCCCCAATAGTTTGGGTTTTTTTCAAGCTGTACACCAAACATAGGTAACTAGAAAGTTATTTTTCTGTAGTTTACCAGGAGCTTCTATCTATTTACTCAAGTGTTAATGAGACTAGGAAGGAAGGGGGTAAGGCAACTGCTATCTTAATATTTTACATGTTACAAGGGATGAAACAACACAATTAATCTGCATGTACTACCAGAGTAACTCAATTAATAGAATACCATGTTTCAAAATGACACCTTTATTTTAAATAGCAGAATTTAAGTCATCAAAATACTTAAGAGTAGAAATTTGAATATATCTTGTGGAGTCTGAGGAAAACAAAAGTTGTTTGTACTATGATATACTGTAAGGCTAGCTGGAATAAATATGACTGTGGAAACAACATTCATTTTGCAAGTGGGTTAATTTACTGCTGAAGCAGCCATATTTTTTTTTTACTTATCAACAGGGAGATAGAGAGTCCCTAAAAAAACCTATTAATCACTGTTTTTTTATGCTATTGTGCTCACTTCCTGGAATGCAGTCAGAGAGGGAACCAGACTGCCTAGAAGCCCAGTCAGCAAAGCACTGCCCTGAACCCAGGATTTGTTTACAATTATTGGAGGGTGGGAGCACTGAGTGCATGAATTGCACTAATTGCAGAGGTTTACACAGGGTTTCTCAATATCTGGAGTATTTCTTAGCAGCAGCCCCCTGGCTCCCCCCTTCTCCTCTCCTTCCTTAGGTGCAGCTACATTTCTATGAAATGTTTTTGGTTCAAATGCTAGTGATGTTGTTTACAGAACAAGAAAACTAAATAAACAAAAGCACTGAAGCAGAATGTACTTTCTCCATTCTACTGCAGATTCCTACACTATGAATTAGAACTAAATTACAGTTTTATCTTTATAGATATTTCCTAGGTATTCTCTAGATTCTTGGTGGTAACAGTTTCATTCAGTAGCATTTGGATTTCAGGCTGTCTGAGATCAAACATGAATTCCAGCATCATCTCACAGTACATTTTGTGAACGTGGAAGATCTTTCTGCCCACGTATTTCCTCTGGGTTTATGATGTGTGTTTTTCCTAGGCTGTGTTCTGTGGGCTGCTCTTTTTGTTTGTCCTGCTTTGATTGTGTGGGTTTGGGGTTTTTTACACCACAACCAAACCCAAATCTATGCTCCATTACACAAGGTGTGTTTTAATCCTGTTGGTATTCACCTTCACTGCACCACCTCTGCTAAAAGCTTAATATTTTAAAGTTTCAGACAGGGGAATAGTTACTGTGGGACATTGGCAAGATTAGTTTAGGACATCTGGAACATTGAGGAGCTTAATTCTATGATCAAGTTCCAAACATAATAAAGATATAATAAAGATATTGAATGGCTGTTTGCACATAATAAAGATATTGAATGGCTGTTACAGGCTGGTACTAATTCACATGTCCTGTAGTGTGTGACTTCTTTAAATTCTAGTTCTTTCTTGCATGTCTCTGTTTCTTGCTTCAAGACTGCTCCATAAATGATCACAATTCACCTACTAGAAGGTTTTTCAGCTCACCCCTGCACTGCTCTGCCAAAACTCAGCTTTCAGCCCCTCAGGACCTATTATTGCTTCACTCTTATCAGATCTTAACTACTGTATTGAGGTATCAATCCTTACAACAACCTGCACATCTGGGATAACAGTTTTGAGGAAGTCTGACAAGGTAGAACAAGTAAATTCTGCACCACAGGAGCGAGGTTTGGCATTAATTTCTTCTCAAAGCTTCATGTTTGCATATAGCAGAGAAAAAGTATCTGCTGTGGTCATTAAAGTCAGCTATACTCTGATTAATCTTCAAAATTATGCAAATTTTATCTCTTACATTATGCTGCTGACCCAACTTTCTGTGATTAATGTACTGTTTTCATGAATATGAACTTTTTGTCAAGCAAATATCACTTGCCTTCTGTTCAGGGCTCTTCAAGAGCAATCAATAGTTTTTCATAAAGGAGCAGTCATTATTTGAACTTTATTCTGAACTCCAGCTTCCCCTCTAAGTAAATTTTTTTAAAAGTTTCCAATTTTTTTTTTATCTAGGAGAAAGACTTTAAACCTTGTTTAAAGTGAGTTGTGCTTCTATTATGGTTAAATGATAACTTTCAATCTTTTTACTACTATGATTCTTATTATGGCTACTACTACAGAAAAAGCTACAGCAAATATTCGCATTCAGTTACCCTTGGTAAGTTATTTCAAACATTTGGAATGTGGTTGGAGATTGTTTATCCAACATGTGAATTGTTTTAACTTAGTGACCAATCACAGTCCAGCTGTGTCAGGACTCTGGAGAGAGTCACAAGTTTTTCTTTATTATCTTTTAGGCTTCTGTCTGCATCCTTTCTTTATTCTTTAGTATAGTTTAGTATAGCATTCTTTAATATAATATCATAAAATAGTAAATTAGCCTTCTAAGAACCCAGAGTCAGATTCATCATTTCCTTCCTGCCATAGGGACCCCAGAAAATACCACATATAGATTTGAGCTAAGAATATAGTATTTTAAAAGCAGAGCTAAACATATAATTTGCAACTGTATAATACAATGTATAGTAATTTTAAATGACAGGTGAAGATGTGAAACAACAGGTCCTCAAAAATGAGTGTATGGCACTTCACTCACCAGGGTACCATTCACACCACCTGTAGTTTCTGATCTTTTACAGTTTGGAATCTATGTTAGTTAATGTTATCCTTTATT